AAAGGTACCCAACACCTTACCATCAGTGAGGCGTCTGAGTCAGAGGAGGGCCAGGACACATTCCCATCAGGAATGGCTCAGGCAGCAGCTCTCAACAGAACGTCAGATAAAAACTTTGCAGAAGTGCTGTTGTTTTCAGTAGGACCCTATGCAGGGATGTTCCATCCTTAAGGAGCCAGGCTTTAACTGGGAGCTGGTGATTTTCTTGCACAAATGTGCATGGATATCACCTCAACACTGTCTTGCCGATCTTCACCCTTTGGGACTATAGCTCCATGCACCACCACCACCCCCCTCCTGGCCTTGACGTGGGCAAGACCACTCATAGAGGGCTGTGTCTCTCCCAGAGAAGAGACCACGTGGGGAAGCAGGTCAGTGTGCACTTGCAGTGAGGTAGAGAGTTTGTGTGACTTTGAGTCTTTATTTGCAACTATTTGAAAGGGGCCATGAGGTTAGTTTTGGCTGAAAAGTAAGTCCCAGAGAGTCTCCTCAGCTTCCTGTTTTCCTGCAGCACATGTCAGAGAAGAAATGTCTGTGTGATGGTTTGGGGATTTTTCAGAGGCTAAGACACCTAAGTCACCGCTATGGTTTTTGAAGAGGACCCTAGTTTCAAGGAGCCAATCAGGCCATTCCTTTTCTGTTTTTAAAAATTTCAAAACTATTTCCTTTGTCACCTGACTCCCTCTTTTATGACTCAGGTACACACATTGGTGGTGAAAGTGAACGGGGCAGGAGGTTCTCAGGGATGGAGTATGCCTGGTTTTGACTCTAAGGTGTTGGTGGCAGAATCTTGTTTTGAATTTTATGTTTTCCAAGAAGACTTGCAGACCCCCAAATGTGGTATCACTGGAAACCCCCCATTTCGAAGAATGAACAGTGGAAGAATGGAACAACACCATTTCCTTTTTTCTGTACATGACAGCAGTAAGCAGCAAAACGTCTGGCTTTAGCATTCTGGGGCTTGGAAATAAGTGTTTCTGGGCTGCAGGCATCTGCTGATGTGATTGGGACATAGTGTTGCTTCCTCCTGGGGACATCAGCCTCTAGGGGAATATACCAAGCCCCAAGTCTCAGAGGGAGCAACAGGGCCAGGGAGCTTCTTTGGGGTAAACCTTGATGTTTTAGAAAGGTTAGAACTTCTGCATTATTAACCTTCAGGTTGGAATCTTAGCCAAAAAGGACTGTATCCCTAAATGTAAGGCATGAGACTGTGTCCTGTTTTGTAATCTTGATGAGTGTTTAAGACCAAGAGAAGATGCTAATCAAACTTTTGCTTGATGCCAAGCACTATTTTCTCTTTTCCACATCATTTTCATAAAAATCTTCTTGTTATGTGAATAACAAATCAGAGCCACTTCAATTTCTTCACATTAATTAGGTTCTATCAGGCCCCCTTTCCAAAGCAGGCATGAGGCAGTGCCTGATGGAGTTCTTGCAGCAAACAGAAGTTCTGTGTAAATGTGCACAAATCTGTACACTCATTATCTTTTTCTCTGGCTCTTCAGTGAATGGTGACTTGTGGCTTGATCTTCATTCTCCTTCTCATCCCATGATTCAGCCTTCTGTGTCTACATATCCTGGGCTTCACATCCAAACAATGCAAAGAACATCAGGAGTAGAGTCCTAGCACAAAGTCTCTCTTATAATCTTGGGGGCAGAAACTGAGGGGCCTGCAAGGCCCCCAGAGACCCCGATAATGAGACCACTAGTTGCTTTTCAAAAAGATGAAAGACTGCCGGACATAGTGGCTCAAAACTATAATCCCAGCACTTTGGGAGGCCGAGGCAGGAGGATCATCTGAGGTCAAGAGTTTGAGGCCAGCCTGATCAACATGGAGAAGCTCCATCTACTAAAAATACAAAATTAGCTGGGTGTGGAGGTGGGTACCTGTAATCCCAGCTACTCGGGAGGCCGAGGCAGGAGAATCACTTGAACCCAGGAAGCAGAGGTTGTGGTGAGCCGAGATCACGTCACTGCATTCCAGCCTGGGCAACAAGAGTGAAACTCCATCTCAAAAACAGACAAGATGAAAGACAAGTGCCAGTGAGAACATGGAGGAAAGGGAGCCCTTGCACACTGTTGTTGGGAATGTCAATTATATGATCCAGCAATCCCACAATGGGGATTGCTTTCTTTTCTGATGTTATAGGATAAACAATATATACCTATGGGTGGCGAAGTTCACCTACGTACACGTTGTGCAGAGAAACCAAGCCTAGTACCTTTTCTTGGAAAAGATGCCTGTGGGTTAGAATGATATCCTAAGACTGACATCTTTCAATTATTGAAATTAAAATCTTCTAGTCGATATCCAGTCTTCAGCTATTTTTAAATTTGGGGTCAATTAGTCATTTTTCCTTTCCTATTTTTTTATTGTAACCTTGGACTCAAACCGTCGGCTTCCCAGGCACATGTTGCCATAGGAGACTCTGTTTGTTGAGGGTGGAGTGGTTGTTTTTGGCAGGTTGGGGGAGGAGCAATTAATTCTAATAGGTATATAGTAAATTAAACACTTGGGTCTTTCCAGCCTTTTCTCTGTATTTCTGCTCTTTTCTATAAACTTCGTTCTCTTTCCAGATGACTCTTTAAGAGCAGAAAAGAAGGAGCTTTTAGAAATAATTCCCAGGCTAGAGCAAAGGAAGTCCAGTGGGACCTGGAGAAGGTCACTTAGGTCATTACTGCTCTTTTCAACATACGTTCCCTAATGTTCTTGAGATTAGAAGCAACCCTTGGTGAAGACTGTAGAAAGAAAAATTCCGTGGGATCTTTTACTAACCCATTCAAATATTTAGATTTTCTTATGAAAAGAAAGATATCTTTAGATATACCTTTTATTTCCATTCTGAAGACCAGACTTTTATACATGGAAGAAAAGTATTTTGGGTGCTCCTTAGATTTTTATAGACAATTACATGGAAAAGAAAGAAGGAACTTATTAGATTTTGCCAATGAGTCAGTCAGGGCTGGAGGAAAAGTAACAGATGTAGTGTTAAATGAATAAGATACACTGCAAACACTTGAAAAAAAAAAAAAAAAAAAAGAAACTCTGGGGAAACTCCATAGATGTATCCGGTCATCCTGCGAGAACCCAAGAGCATCTGTAGGTGTTAAGGATGCACTCGTTGTCTTTTGACTTTGATTATTTGGCTGCAATTCAGGACCCAAGTCTTGATTCTATAGTTATTCCAAGTTCCCTAGAGCCAGAATAACTGGTTCCAGCATTAAAGACAAATGCTCATCTCAGAATCTTTGTCTTTTATCCCAGTGAGGCCTGTGTTGAAAACAGAATTCATTTTCACTTCCTGCTCACAACAGGAAGTGACATTGCTAAGCAGCTGTGAGGCAGCTGTTGAGTTCCACCCTACAGGCAGCAGCTTCTCAGCAGTTGGCGAACTGGTATACATCTGGAATGATGTTCCAGTGACCTCAGGATTCCGTAGAATAAATCAAAACATTGAAGTAATCACTTGGATAAACTCGTTCTGATGTAACTCAATTGCTGAGAATTATTGAATGGCCATTTTTCTGTTGAGTGATCCATCTCATCAAAACACAGTTAAATAGAAAATTGTTCTTCTATTTGACATTTAAGGAGGATGGGGAGAGAGAAAGTGATTTGAACATGTACACTCGAAGGTGGCTTCAGAACTCAAGAGTTCTGTGGGCCAGTTTGACCACAAGATGTTTCCTAGGACTTTATGGTTGGGCATCACTCAGGATGAGTAGCAGCCAGTTTTATTGAGTAGGTGGGCTGGCTGGTGTACCCTTTAGGATACAGCATGACAGTGTTTCCCTTCAGAGGTAGTTTTCTGGAGAGACAATGCATTGGGCTGCTGAGCTGTTTTTTAACAACTTGTTACTGTTCTTAGTGTACATTCTCTTTTGGGGTGAAACACTCCATTAACTTTGTTTGGACCTGGGCCCCTTTCCCATTTTGGTTCCTGGTGACTTACTGCAGTAACAGTAGTGGATGGAAACAGCACAGCTGTCTCTGCTCTAACCCTGTGTCTAGTTGCTGTGCGTGAGGCAGCTGTATCTGTGGGCATATTTGTGTTCCAGCACCAGTGCCCTCAACCCAAGCACCACTGCAGGCTGTACAGACATCATTTTAGTCTTCATAGTACCCAAGGACTACTCAGGTCTCTAAGTATCAGTCTTTAGTGCACTAGGAGAGGGGTAGAGTTAATATGTGAGAAGCAGTACAAAGCCAGGATACATGACGTCCAATACTAAGCTGTATCTGACACTTGCTATATGACCTGGGCTATTCTTATCATCTCTATGCATTCCCATTTCCTCAATAAAAAAGCAAGACCTTTGGTCAAGCATGGTGGCTCATGCCTGTAGTCCCAGCACTTTGGGAGGCTGAGGTGGGAGGATCATGAGGTCAGGAGTTCGAGACCAGCCTGGCCAATGTAGTGAAACCCCATCTGTACTAAAAATGCAAAAATTATTTTGAGCATAGTGACGTGCACCTGTAGGCCCAGCTACTCGGGAGGCTGAGGCAGGAGAATCGCTTGAACCTGGGAGGCAGAGGTTGTCGTGAGCCAAGATTGTGCCACTGCACTCCAGGCAACAGAGCAAGACTGTCTCAAAAAAATAAAGAAAGAAAGAATGCCAACCCTGCCTACTGCACAGGCCTTCTCCCATACTCAACAGAGTTAAAAACATGTGGAACTGTCTTGTAGCCTACATAATATAAAGCCCTCTTATTGCAAGCAGGCAAAAAAAAAGTTGATCAAAGAGTTTAAACAACCCACCTCAGACCTCAGAGTAGGTGAGGAACACTACTAAGAGTGAGATATAACAATTCATTGGGCCCAGTGGTCTTGAGATTTTTCAGCTGCTTGCAAATGTTAGGTCAGTGTGTGTCCTGCATCTTGGGTACCGTTCTGTGATATCTCTGGAGTTGTATGGATTGTGCTTGGATGGGGGAATGGCAGAGTCAAGACAGACATAATAAGGCTGTACCGAGATGTCGCCTTCCAACTTCCCTACAGCCCTTCCAAGCAGATGGTTGGTGTGACACTATCAACAACCGAGCCTACTGCAACTATGACGGGGGAGACTGCTGCTCTTCCACGCTCTCCTCCAAGAAGGTGAGTGAGAGAACCTGGGGCTGGGGGAGGCAGTGGTTTCAGGAATAAAGGCAGGGTCTTCAGCTAGCTCTCCTTCACGGTGTGCAATAAGGGGTTTGTATTCAACAATTAGGAGGGCATTACAATGAGCAAACATTGGAGCTTCTACATTGACAGAGTTGAGGGTAGCATAGGTTCTTAGATAACACCAGTTCCTTATCAATTCTGTGACTCAGAAAAGCCATGGTTTTTGCTATGGAAGGACTCATACCTGTTTATCGTTGGCCAAGAAACATTTCCGTAGGCGGGGAAAATAATCGTCTTTACCCCGGGGGAGGTAGGATTACCAACAAAGTGCTATCCCGTTACTATCTGTCTTCATAATTTCGTTAATAATTTTACATAGTATGTTACAAGCATCCCGCAGACACATGTTAAATGGCTGCCACCAGCCACCTGAGTGCTCTCTGGATTGTATCTTGAGCAATAATCCATTCTTGATGCCCTTAATCCCTGTTACTCTTGGCTCTGTTAACTTAGCAGATAGGCTCAAGCTAAGCCTTATAAAACAGAATAAGCAGAAATGTTGTAATAATATGGGTAAAAACCCTAAGTGCTTCAAAGACATTTAAAACTAGTTGGGTCAATACGATAAATCTGAAATAAGCAAGAGATGGTGTTTCCTTCCTTGCATCTGTCTCCATGATAAAGCCACACCTATCATAATCACCTACAGCAAGACTTGAATATTACATCTCTTACTTGCTAATATTTAACCCTCACTCAATATGTGGCAGGCACTATACTCACCACTTATGTGAATTAACTTATTTAATGCAGAGTGCACAGGTGCTCATTATATCACTAATTTGGCTCTCTTTTGCTCTAAAAATCCATCCATCCTAAACTAAGAGAAACAGATCAAGGGCTTGGACCACAGGTCAGAAATCAGGCCAGCTATAAAGGAAGACAGGATAACTTAGGAAAAAAATAAAGCAGTTCTCTCCCTATCTCACACTCTGAAAAATCTAGTAATTGTCTGTAATAAATTTCAGTGCCTGTGGCCAGCATACACAGGAATTAAGATTGAAAAGGCACTTCACCCCTCTGTTGACTCCTAAATCACATTTTAAAGGAATGTGCAAATATGCTGGAAAATTTCCCCACACAGCGCCACCCATTCTGCAACCCACTTGCCCAGTCACCAAGCCCGTGTCTTTAGTGTACTTTGACTACTATTATATGTGATATGCCTATTTATTTTTATCTCATTCTATTGTTAATGCCCCAAAGGGAAAAATCATTGATACTTTTACATTGCATCTCCTACATGCCCAATTTTCTCTGATGCTAGTTATGGACACTCAAAATGTAGCATTTATCTATTTGTAGTAGTGTAAGCAGAGGAGAGTAACTTTTTCTGACTGTCTCTGGCATGGGAAAGAGATGGTTACATGGAAGGAAGGCAATAGAGCCACAAACGGGGGGTAGAGGAGATGAATTATTCCGCCAATATATATCTTGGGCTCAAAAAAGCAAAAACTCATGCTTTATGGGGATGGCAAGGATGTTCCTCTTGTCCCAAGAGCACTAAGGAGTTGGAGGCAGAAAGCTAGTCTGTAGCTTGTCTCAGCATCCCATATAGGAGTGTCATTACCTTGTATCAAGTCACCTCACATCTCTTGCCCTTCCCTGTAAAAAGAAAATGCTGATGCTACCATTCATCTTTCCTGCTTGACAGGGAAAGTAACAGTAACAGTAAGAGCAGTAGTTTTAGATAAGAGTGGCAATACTAGAACTGACAGTAGTTATAGATGCTTGGCAATATAGAAGAGCTTTATACTTACCATGTTATTTAAATCACACAAACACCCTCTGGGGTAGTTTCTGTTGTCCTCCCGAACTTATATGTGAGGAAAGTAAAGCAAGGAACGATTGCCTTGCCTAAGGCCACATGGTGACATGGTGTGTGAGTGAGAAAACTGTGTGCTTATTTCCGGTCTGTGATGATATTAGCACATAATTCCACAGTTCCTCTGGCACCAAGTGAGAAGAGTGAATGTGGTTGAAAAGTACGAAGCTATCACAGAAATGCGCTGTTTCAACTTCTCTTTCATCCCCCTAGGTTATTCCATTTGCTGCTGACTGTGACTTGGATGAGTGCACCTGCCGAGACCCCAAGGCAGAAGAAAATCAGTAACTGTGGGAACAAGCCCCTCCCTCCACTGCCTCAGAGGTAGTAAAAAAGAGAGGCAGACCCAGGAGGAAACAAAGGGTGAATGAAGAAGGACAGTAGTGAAGTGGAGGAAGGAGGAAGAGTATGAAGGATCTTATAAGAAATGCATGAGGATATTGATAGGTGCCAACTAATACAGCGAGTACTCCAAGTAGGGGAGAGTCATAGGCAAAAGTTTCTTTCAAGTAGCAGTTGATTAACATGGAAGGGGAAATATGATAGATATATAAGGACCCTCCTCCCTCATTTATATTCTACTCAATCCTATCCTCAGCTCTTGCCCTGCTCCCCACTCTACACCCTGCCAACTATTCAGTCCCACCCAACTTGTAAACCAATACCAAAATCCTAGAGGAGAATTTGGCAGGGATACTCTGCTAATACCCATTTCTAATGGATTGCCATCTTTCAGAGCTTGTCTGCTCTCAGCTGGCTCTTTTTCCGTTTGTGTAGTCTCCCTTAAATAATGAAGTTAGTTATTCTTTATAAGTATTTAAACATAATTATATAAATATATATATATTATATTTTTTGCTGTTTACTAAGCTAAAAATCACTCTTTGTTCCACACATGCTGCTGTGAAGTTCAGATTGAATGCTGAGACTTTGAGGACAGACAGGCAACTTATTTTCCCATCTTTCTATGGATGAGGATTGGCAGGTTGAATGGGAAGTGCAGAAGGAGAGAGAGTAATTACATGGAATTCTGGAGGCCAGCATGTAAAGTTAATTATCTTTTTCTATGACCTGGGAGCCGGGCCCATTTGTGACCAAGGAGATGGGGAGTTAGAATGGTGGTACTAAGAGGCTTAGGAAGTTGGGTGTGAGTACCCACTGGGGATGGGTCCAGAACTAGATAATGGTTCTTGAGCATCTGTCCACAAAGCATATATTAACTTGTGTCCATTTCTCAGAACTTTCAACTGGAGTTGGTGAGACCCAGGATTCTCTGCACTTCCATACGTGCCTGTTCCAAGGGTGGCTCTCGGCCAGCCAGCCGGTCAACAAGTTTGTATTAGAGCCCATTCTCTGATCACCAGGATTACAGGAACTCACACGATCCTCATACTTGGCCTGTGGTCCCACTTCTTGTTAGAAGTCTCCAAGCCTGGCTATCACTCACAGTCACATGACCAAGTGTTGATTTTTTTTTTCTGGGGAAAAAATATTATGGAAATGACACAGGGGAAAGGTGGGAGGAGAAGAAAGCACAGGCAGGAATGGAGGAGCCAAAGAGGACTGTGGAGAAGTGAGCAGTCAGGGTTAAACTAAAGCCTGGGCATGAGAATGGAAGTGATCAGGGAGATTCGGTCCTTGTTCCAAGTCTCCAAAGAAGACCCAAGTGGGTCCCTTGAGCAATGAAGAATCTGAGATAAATTCTTGTCCAGTATCATGTACAAAATCTGTGAGCTAGAGATTCTGACTTCAGCAAGCTATGAGAATACGTGGAGCAAGGGCGACACTCTGTGGGCAGACAGAAGAATTTCAACTATTTAGGGTCCATTTTGTTGTTGTTCCGCTTTCTTATCCAATACATGGACTGCACGTGAAATGACCACATTAAGCCTCTCTCTATTTACATCCCAGGGTCACTGGGATGTGGTCTATTGCAGTTACATTTCCTTGTAACAGTTTCTGGATTAGGCCTTAGGGAAAGAGAGTAAGGAGCCAATTTCTCTTTAATATTCTAGTTTTACTCATTTTAGGAAGGCTGTGAGGCTTGTCTCCCTTAAAGTTTCTTCTCCAGTGGAAACCAAGAACAGACAAAACTTAGATCTCAACCGTGGTCTCTCTCCATCTTCTGCTCTTTTGCTTTGACCACAGTTTTCCTACTTTTCCCATCAACACCAGAGAAACAGTTTTGCAAATAGGAATAGGAAATGCTACCACAACTATAGAAATATTATCTGTATTATCATGTAGGGAAGAAGAATATCCTGAAAGGGAATAAAACAAGAATAAGGTGATATACCCATATTAATCTGTGGGTTTGTGGAATGAGGGTGTCAAAGTCATTGGGAGAAGGAAAGAGCAGAGTTCACCTACTCAAAAAAAATCTTTTGTTTCGTCCTCTAATTTCTAGCACAAAGAAGATGTAGCTCAGATACCACTCATTGTCTTGAGTCATGCTTAGTGCCCCCAATAAGACAAACATATTTATTATTGGGATTCTGATAGGCTTCCATATGCAAAGGACAATGGAAAAGTTTAGACACCCCATTTTGTTTGATTGGGGAAAATGTCCAAATTGCTGGAAGTGTGCTAAGTTCTGCCTTGGGGAATCCTATCTTGTCTGAGATTGAGGCAGAGGAATTGTTATCCTGGGGATTCCGCAGCTCAGGAACATGGAGCCTGTGGTTCATGCCGGTGTGCGTCTGCGTGCAGTCTCTCCACAAGCGCAATAGTAAGAACATTCGTGTTTTAAATTTCATTTTTAAGTATTTTATTCTCTGCACTTCACCACTGCTTTGGAAAGGCAAAAGGAAAGTTCCTGTTGTGTGTGAAGAGCCCCTTAGGCGATCAGGCTTCCCAGTCATTGCTGTAGCTATTCAGAGACAGCAGGTTCTTCCAGTCTCTGTTCCTGGGGCCTGAGGTTTTGAGCAACTCAGGTCACTGATAAAGTGGAAGGACTGAGACACTGTGGTCACAGATCCCAGCAGCGCAACTCACATTCCATGTGACGGTCCACATTCTGCTGCTCTTATCTACCCATGTGGTCATTGAGAGCCTTTCTCAGAGACGCTTCTGTGTGTTTGATTGTGCCCAGGTGGCGCAGGGCTAGCTGGCTCTAACGACTAGTGTGACAGCCTCCAATCAGAAAGGCAGGCAAGAGGACAGAGTGAGGAGAATGGGCAGATGCTGGCAGAAATGAAAGTGAAGGGATCACGAAAGAGCTCTTCCTGATTCTCTTTTCTTTTTTTCTATTACAAGGCATTGAACTTGGCACTTCCTCTGTTCTTTTGTGATCACTATTGAGTGCATTAGTTGACGCCCAAGGGGATGGCTTGATTGGGGATGTAGTGAAAGGAGCTGATCTACTGTAATGTAACGTCAAACAGCGACAGCCAGTTATTTTGTAAGACTGTAAGATGTTCATTAAAAAATCAGCACACAAAATGTGAAGTGTCTTTGCTGCCTCTTCGTTAAATCATTTCATCACTTTCTAATCACTTTCCATTGTCTTGTTCCAGGTCCATGCAACAGTCATTTATTTGATTGATTGGTCATTTCTTTTAGTCATTTATAAACCGGTTATTAAGTAAATAGGATGTATAAGGAAGATGAACATGAACGTTCATAAGGAGACATGGCGTATCTGAAAGTAGAAATGTGTGGCAGGAATGTCAAATACCTCATGCGTTTTGAAATAATGTGCAAGAATTACTTGCAGTCCAGAGGAAGTAGGGCTCACTTCTGGATGCCAAAGGTAGGCAGCATTTGGAATATGGGCGGGGAAGGATGCATGTGATCCAACAGGTAGAAATGAGGGTGGGGAGAGGAGAGTCCAGGCAAGGGAAGCAACAGGGTTGGAGGAGGATGTGGAGGTAGGAAAGGGATAGGCTGTGCATTTCGGAATATCAGTGAGGCATCCAGCTTAGCTGGAAGGTAGAACTAAGCTAATATGTACCATACATTTGGTAAATGCAAAATCTTACTTAATTCTTAAAACAGATCTGCAAATAGCATATGCTCACTTCACAGATGAGAACACTAAGCCCCAGACTGGCAAGGAAAGTTCCTCAAGGTCATATGAAGGGAGTTAGCCTGGTTCTGTGGGACACCAAGACGTTAGAGGGAAAAGAAAAATTGTGATTAATAGGATGAAGAAAGGTGAAATGAAATGTCAAGGATGATGCCTCTGCATTAAGTACACAATCTGAAAGCTTCCAGCCCTGATAGAGAAGGGAAGCTAGCGGGAGCAGGCTTTTAAAGAAAGGGTATACATTTGCTCTCTCAATAAACTCGGGTTGAAAGCCAGATACATAATTAGCTGGACATGTCTTCTAAAGCAGTGTTCACCCTAGAGGAGGCTTCTGCAGTTGGGGCCACCTTGCAGAGTTTTCTGGCCATACCAGTCACCACCTGGCTGCTTGAAGGGCTGGGCAGATATCTCAGCATACCTATGAGGCATTTGGAAAGAACTGTGAAATAGACAGTTGGAAATGTGAGCTTGGAACTTGGGAGAGATGTTTGTGGTTAGAAATAATCATTTGAGAGAGAGAGAAAAAAGCATTTTCTTTATGGTTCACAAAGTGCTTTCATTTGCTTTATAGCTACCCACAATAGGCAGAGCAAGGACAGTTTTTTTTTTTTTCTTTTTCTTTTCATTTTACAGATAAAGAAACTGAGTGTCTGTGAGGTTATAGGAAAATTTAAGTTCACGTATCTAAGTGCAGGTTGGGGTGGGAATCGAGTTCTCTGTCCCCAAACGTAATGTTTTCTACTGCACAGCATCCCACCAGTTCCATTTGCAATGGGAAAGTTTAATGTCTTTTGACCGGTTTATGTTTCAAGGTGCTCATTGCTTTCCTTGTGGCTTTCTGAGTAGCTGAGCCTATTTTCTCTCCTGCCTGTTGTTTCTAGCAAATGGTAGAAAAACTGAGGGCAGACTTTCCTGAGCACCCTTCCAGGGCCCTCTCTCTCCTCATGCCAGGCCCTGAGTATAAGCAGATGCCCTTGCACAGAGCAGTTAGGCCAGCTGGACAGAAATGTCTGGCAAGGCTGCCTTTTCCTTAATAGCTTCCCTAGGGAGAGTCCTGGGCAGAGACTTTGGAGCTCTGGTTTCCATTGACTGACAAACGTAAATGACATGATGAGTCATCCGTCAGCTGGGAGACTCACTACTCTTAGATTCAGCCATCCAGATGATGAAGGACTCAGGGTAAGGTTGGGTGAGGTAATGAGAAGGGCTCTGGGCATCTCTAAACCTGACTTTGGATAATTTCTTATGTCATTCCAGGAAGACCACTGAAATACTCTAGTATTTCAGGTTTCTCAGTTAGCTCAGAAGAAAAAGATGGTAGTAGTGAGAATCCTGTATCCCATAATGGTCCATGCCCATAAAAGCTTCTACATGTGCCTGGGATATCTGGCCTGGCAAAATACGAGACTGTTTTAGAAAATAGATGGTTATCCAGTCGATCATTAATGGACATTTGGGTTGGTTCCAAGTCTTTGCTATTGTGAACAGTGCCACAATAAACATATGTGTGCATGTGTCTTTATAATAGAATGATTTATAATCCTTTGGTTATATATCCAGTTATGGGATTTCTTGGTCAAATGGTATTTCTAGTTCTAGATCCTTGAGGAATTGCCACACTGTCTTCCACAATATTGAGCTAGTTTATACTTCCACCAGCAGTGTCAAAGTGTTCCTATTTCTCCACATCCTCTCTGGCATCTGTTGTCTTCTCATTTTTTAGTGATCGCCATTCTACTGGCTTGAGATGGTATCTCAATAAACAGAAAACCAAACACCGCATGTTCTCAGTCGTAAGTGGGAGTTGAGCAATGAGAACACATGAACACAGGGAGTAAAACATCACACACCGGGGGCCTGTCAGGGGGGTGGGGTGATTGGGGAGGTGGAGCATTAGGAGAAATACCTAATGTAGACGACAGGGTGACACATGCAGCCAACCACCATGGCACGTGTATACCTATGTAACAAACCTGCACGTTCTGCACGTGTACCCCAGAACTTAAAGTATAATAATAATAAAAGATGGTTATTCTCAAGCCTGCCATTGTGTGAGCCTACCTGAGAATGGATACATCTTGTCCAGTCAGAATTCAGCCTGATGATCAATACACTATGGTGTGTGATTTGCCACATTTGGCTCCTTGCTGAAGATGGTTTGGTTTTCATCTTTAATCTGGTCTTTAATCTCAGTCTTTAGGTTACATTGCTGTGTGTTAGTAAGAACTAGTGTGACAATGATGAAGTACATTCTTAAAAGAGATCTACAAGTCAAATGTGGTTAACATTCCAAATGAGTATAATAAAAACCTTTCTAAGCCCTGAAAGGTACTTCTGAGTAATGGCAATAGTTCAGATTAACTACAATTTGCTAATGTTCTTCAAATCCAATTTTCTTCTAAGGATAACTTAATATAGACAAGCTTCCTTTTCTTTGTCTCTGTCTACACAAAAATCACATATTAAATGCAAAAAAATAGAAAATGAAGGGACAGTGTTGACTTTTTAATGACTACCAATTATGTTGCATCAACGTGCCCTTCTTTCCTTTGGGTAACTGCTATCTGAAGGCAATTGCCAGTTTAAAAATGTTTACACACATACAAGTCACACTGAAATCTCACAAAAGGCTGTTAAAGTTAGAGAATTTCCCCACACCATAATTTAATACATACAACTCAAAGTGCTTCCTGAATGGGTTAGGCAAGTTATGTTAGGGTGCAAATGACTTCCAAGTAATGACGTTGTAAGTAGTGAATCAATAACCATTAGAATAATCTGTAAGAAAATTTCTACAGCTTTTTAGAATGTCCAAGTAGTCTTCACAATGGGAAAATACTTCTTATTAACTCGACATTGTTCATGCTTTCTCTACCTAGGGAGGTGACCTGGCACAGGGAGGCTGGGGTCAGGATGACTGAGCCTGGACCTAGAAAGTCAATATGTAGGAGGTATTGGTGATTGTGATCCATGGGCAGCAGCATAATGATCTGCAAGGATGAAAACTACAAAGTTTCAAAGCTGACAAATCTGAATTTGAATTCTGGGTCCATTACTCACTAGGTAAGTCGTCTAGTTACTGAATCTCTCTGAGCCTCAGTTTCCTAAATATCTACCTTCGCAAGATGAAGCCCAGCATAGTGGTTAAGCAGTGTCAGGCAAGAAAGAATTAAAGAGTGATTGATGGAGATGGTGTGTATAGATTACTCTCTCAAAAAGTTTGCAGCCAGGTGTGGTGGCTCATTCCTGTAATCCTAGCACTTTGGGAGGCGGAGGTGGGAGGATCACTTGAGGTCAGACGTTTGAGACCAGCCTGGCCAAAATGATGAAGCCTCTCCTCCACTAAAAATATGAAAATTGAGCCCTGCATAGTGGCACACACTTGTAGTCCCAGATACTCAGGAGGCTGAGAAAGGAGAATCACTTTAACTTGGGAGATAGAGGTTGTAGTGAGCAGAGATTGCACCACTGCACTCCAGCCTAGGTGGCAGAGCAAGACTCCATCTCAAAAAAAGAATAGCTGAGCATGGTAGCACATGCCTGTAATTCCAGTACTTTGGGAGGCCAAGGCAGGTGGATCACAAGGTCAGATCAAGACCATCCTGGCCAACATGGTGAACACTCCCAACTCTACTAAAAATACAAAAAAAAAAAAAAAAATTAGCTGGGCATGGTGGCATGTGCCTGTAGTCCCAGCTACTCAGGAGGCTGAAGCAGGAGAATTGCTTGAACCAGGGAGTCAGAGGTTGCAGTGAGCCGAGATCACACCACTGCATTCCAGCCTGGCAACAGAGCAAGACTGTCTCAAAATAATAATAATAATAATAATAATAATAATAATAATAATAATTGACAGTGAAGAAAAGGAGGAGAGGAGAGAATTGCCTTTTTTGACTTCAAAATTCTCAAACACCATGCTTCTCTAACCTTAGAGAGACTAAGATGTGTGCTATCATTAGTTATGTTCTCAGGACAGTTAGAACAGATGGAGACTCCTAAGTGGTTTGGCTGCCAGGAGATGTTCTATCCCACTGATTCGGAAAGGAGCAAAATGGATCTGTAAGGCAAAGGTGGTAACGTGTGGAGCTGAGGAAAAGGAAGTGGGCTAGCAGGAAAATTTGGAGTTGGCAGAAATGTTGGTAAACTCAGCTGGCATATGCCTGTAAAGTTGCATTACCTATATGAGGAACACTGGTTATTTTCTTCAAAAGACAATTGAATTGCTGAATTGATCGCGTTACGTAATAACACTGTCCAGTGCAACTTTTGACAATGATGAAAGTGTTCCATGTCTGCATTGTCTGATGTAGTAGCCACTAGCCACTACAGGTTGCTCTCTAGCCCTAGTGACCGGTGAGACCGAAAAACTGAATTTTAAATGTTACTTAATTTCAGTGGGTTTAAACAGCGACATG